TTGACGCTAGTAAACCCAAAAGATATCGATTTGTCGTATAATTGGCCGATTGCTCAACGCCTCTTTTAGACTTAGATCCGTTCAGGCTCTTATTTTCAGCGGTGAAAACGTTTTGCAAGGATTCATGACGCATTTTATGGAAGGAGTGATTTCAACTGCGATGCGAATCTTCTTACCACGCCAGTGTGCCCTCTTTCGCCCACCTGCGCTTTCGCTTCAGATTGAACCCAAAAAGGATGATCTTAAACGGCTACAGCTCTCGCGGCTGTGTCATCCTTAGGCAATATCGAAGGTTCTTCACGTCTGTCTGCCATTTGATGTAACAAAATAGCTGATACATATGTTATTATCTGCACGCCCCGCAACATTTCGGTCGACAAATGTGAGCGATCTTATCAGCTCTATAACTGATATGTCGACGATTACAGATATGGCTCCCCGTGACATCTGATCATTACCAGATGCGACAGCAGTCTGTTAGTGAAGGACAACGGAACATAAATCTCTAAGCGGTCTTCTTTCTTCGAGTAGGGCTTACTACCAACAATCTTTCCGTGGCGTTGTTCAATACAGTATGAAATAGCGATGCTACGGTAGCGCACTCGCGCAAAAGAGTTGTATATGGTCAAAACCACAGCTGCTGTTTTGTTCCGAAAATTTCCCAACTTCCCTGCTGTTTGATTACATGCTCGAACATTTCAAAACAGACTGAAATCGCCTCGATTATCTTGGACACAAGTACGATCACATATCCGTAAAACAGCCCCACCATTAGCTTATATGAATTCAACCTTCCACTACCGTTCAAGTTTTCCTCTACGAAAAACAGCGCGTGTCCCTAGTCGACTTAGAGATTTTGTTCGGAACTGGATCATCCCCTGGCCGTTTCTTGAACCTGGAATTACCTCTCTGACCCAGAGGTGTTGAATGTTGAGGAAGATACTGTTGATTAAAGAGCTCACTTACTTATATTTATGCTTACACGTCTTCACTTATGTGCGAGCACCAGCAACAAACCGTTCGCTTCTGTCTTTCGCGATCGCCATCCACGGTAGACTCAGAATTCGCCGGAGATGACGGTGTGAGGAGTCTTTCAGCAGCTGTCGCAACTGTTTCACGTGATCGACAAGCACATCCCCCCATCTCGCAGCAGGCCTACCCTTAGATCGTGAAGATCCTACGGGAACCACTCGACAGTCCTTCTTGCCCATCTGTCATCATCTTTTCCCATTACATGACCGGCCCAGCGAAATTTTGCGTTTTCCATATGCTCCACCGGATCACGGAGTCGTGGCATTCTGCGCATATCGGAGCTGCGGAGTCCGGCTCGATATCGATCTACCCGATTGAACCTCAAAAGGCATCGCTTGAGCATTTTGTGACTGGTGCTCAAAGCCCTTGACATGGATGCACTGGTTACCCAAGTCTCCGACCCGTAACAGAGCGCAGGAAGAACGGCGGAATCGAACAGATTAGCGCGAAGTTCCGGGTCGGCCAGGTCGGTTAGTAACCTCTTTCAGAGGTTCGAAAGCTGCGCTGCCCACGCCGCTTTTTGCCGTCTCACCAGTTCTTCCCTAATGTCGTTCTTCATATTCATGGAACGCCCGAGATACACGTAGGACAAGGTTTCCTTGATAGGTGTACCATCGATCTTAATTTGGCCCTCGTCAGCCCAAGCATTCTTCATGAACTGTGTCTTTGTTTGGTTGATCCGCAGCCCTACCTTCTTTCCTGTTTCAGCAGGCATAGTCTTAGCTTCCTCGATGCTGCTTGATAAGATAGCGATGTTGTCTGCAAAGCGGAGATTTGAGAGGAACCGTCAGTCCACACGAATGCCCTTTTTCTCCTAGTCTAGGGACTTCATAACCCACTGCAACGCGGCTGTGAACAGCGAAATAGTGTCTCCTTATTTCACACTCTTCCCTATGGGAATGGGGAGAGGTCGTTGGAACAGCTTCATCGTCGCGCTGCAACGACTACTGCAGTCAGCTAGTGTTCTTATGTGGGAAGGGTCACTCCTTGATCGACCGGTGCTGACAGGACCGCATTCGTTTCGACGCTGCTCAAAAGCTTTTTTCATAGTCAACAAAAGTAAGGACAAGAGGCATTCGGAATTCTCGGCACACTTCGATGGCCATTGCGACCGCATGTATGTGGGCAGCTGAATCCCTTCCAGAATCCGGCCTGCTCTACAGGTTGAGCTTCATCCAACGTTCGCGATATGGGGGTTAAATTGATCTTCATGAACAGCTTGTAAAGCACGCTTAACAAGCTTATTGGGCGGTAGTTGCGACGATCATCCCAGACTCCCTTCTTGTGAAGAATGACCATTCGCGACTTCCTCCACTGGTTGGGGATCCTCTCATTCTGGAGGTCATGCATGTTGCGAGAAGCGCATGAAATTCGTAGCCACCTGCATGGTCAGCTGAGATCTTGTCGGGGCCTGGAGTTGTGCCCCTTTTCATGCCCGTCGCAGCTCTCACCTCCGAACTAAGGATCTGCTGTTCCGCCAGTGGGGATTTTTGGTTTTCGCACGTGTGTCGTGGATCGGTACAGGTTAAAAACCTCCAGTAACCTACTCTATCTCAAATCTCGATGTTGTAATTGTTCCGTACTCCTTCTTCAAACACGAAAGTGGAGCACTGTGGTCCTGGAGATCCCGATGGCATTTTTCGGACTGGTTCTGTTCAAGGCTGGCTCCAGTAGTCTCTTGCCCCTGTATAGCTGAAGGTCTCGCCGCACTTCCTGCCTGCAGCTGATATTCGCTTGCAGCCTATCAAGGTGTGTGGCGTTCTGGTCAAGACTCAATTCCTTCTTGTCATGAGAAGATCCTTCGTCGTATCTGAAATGCGAACGGAGGTATCCAATCGAGGAAGCTTGGCCTGTTCAGCACAAGTGATGAGACCCCGAACCAGCGCGTCGTCTGTCGGGTCATCCAAGACCTGCCAGTCATATCGGGACAAGAGACATTCAGAACATCTTCATCGAATACAACATGCTTCGAGCTCTTTGCGCGATGTTGAGAGATCTTTTCCAGCTTGTGACTGAATCTGATCTTAGCGGGGAGTCGATGATCAGAATCACCGCAGAAAGATAGTACCACACCAACATCTAGTAAGCACCACATTCTGTTTGTTAATATGTGGTCCAGTTCAGCATGAGTTGTACCATTTGGAGACTCCCATGTCCAGCGATGTTCCTTCTTCTGAAAGAAAGAATTTCCATGAAGGAGTCGAGCCGCGGAGAGGAGTCCCTCTAGACGGTTTCCGTTCTCGTTCCTGTCCCCCATTCCGAACTTTCCAATCCTGAACTCCTCTTCTTGTGCTTCGCCAAGCCTAGCGTTGAAATCTCCAACAACAAATTTGTAGAAGGACTTTTCGTTGTGGATGATTTCCTCAAGTTGGTCGTAGAACGCATCGAGCTCCTCTTCGTCAGCTGTAGAGTGTGGAGAGTAGCAGTTGACGATGGAGATAGTCTTCATGTGCTTATGTCGTAGGCGTAGGATGGCAAAGCGAGGAGACAGGACTTCGTGAGAATCGACGAGATGGACGTCAGATGGATGCACGACGAAACCAACGCCGCCGAAGTTTCGCGAAGGAAGCTTTTTACAGAATGATGAGGGTTCCATCATTCATTCGTCGTATGTCGGCCCTACTGCTCTTGGTTTCATGCAACGCAATCACTGATACTTAATGTGACTGGCCGCATCGAGCTCATGGAGAGCGGCATTGGAAAAGACTGTTCTTGCGTTATAGGTATAAAGTAGGAAGAGTCTCCGTGCCGTGTGGAGGGAGTGCTGTCATGGTCCGAAATCCAAGACGTCCTGCGCAACCCGAAGTTTCTTCGCCTCTCACCGGTCGCCCTGCCGTTCGGCGCCGGAGGCGGCTGATCTCAGTGTGCGGTGTGCTAAGGCTGTCTTATTGTTGTTTTAGCAAGTTTACTCCCTGGAGTCTCATCACTGCCTTGCCAGGGCCAGTGCTGAGTCTTCACCATCGTGGCCATAGCCACTCTGGATCAGAGGGAGCTGTGGTGACCTACTCTTAGCCGTCCAGGTATGCCGTTCAACTGACCAGTAAAAAATTTAGGCAAGAGTTTTCGGACCATACAAGCCGACATCTGATGGTAGTGACGAAAGCATGTGGCAGGGCGACAGGACGCCTCCAATTTGGCAGGTGGATATTTCCCCGAGCGAGGCCTGGTCCTTAATCCAAAACGCGATGGCTTAGACGTAAAGTACCGGGGCTTGTTGTGCGCAACATAACGCGTGAAGAACGAATTCAACCGCGACCTCGGGCGGACGGACAAGGGGGACTCAAGCAATGGAGCCGCCATCCCTCCAGTTTCTCACCCATCCACCTAACCACAGCTACGAACGCGACGCGGCAACTCGGTCAAGGTAATCTTCCGCATGACTGAAGAGCACCGGAGTCTTGCATTAGAGCATGTGATGAAGTGCTAAAAACTGGAAAGAAACAGAAATATTACTGTTACATAAACCAAAACTTTAAAAAATCAGACACGCCTACAAGTCTAAGCGCCACCCTCCCACCACGTTGAGGTGGTAGACCATCGGACGGGGATTAAGGAGCTAAACTTCATTTTCGGAAGTTGCTAGGAACCAAGACAAACGCCTTTATGCTGGTCATCCTAGTACTCAGCTGCATAAATGTAAGATAGAACATCTACCACACGAAGGAAATGTTGCCACAACATTGCCATCAGAATCATTCCGTCATATGAAATGTAGATTTGAGGTAAACTTTCGAAAAAGGACGGTATACACATCATCTTGACTATGCAAAACCCTAGTAGAAATCAGAATCCTTCCTTAGTTAGGAGGAGAAGCGGACATGTTTTCGTCTTCATTAATTCTATTATGCATCTAAGAGCATTTCATTGTGTATGTAAAGGAAATGCTCACAGCACACTGGACATTTCTGTCAGTATTTTAGGTTCATAATAAATGTCAATAATTTGGAATCATTTTCTCCGAATTTCAGAGTTTGGGGTGGAAGTTCGACAGTGAATGCGATGGTATATGTACGAGGTCATCCACTGGATTATGACCGATGGGAATCTGAAGGCGCAAGGGGCTGGAACTTTAAAAACTGCCTGCCATATTTCAAGAAAGCCGAGACTTATCAGTATTCTAAGGTGATAAGCTTCTCAACTTGGACCTCTTTTCACAATTTGCGAGTGAAATACAATCACAAAATACAGTTGAATCATGCCTAATTTTCATGCCACGAGGCAGAATTTTTATCAAGTGGTATCAAGGGCAACACCGCTTCTTGCCCAGTGGTCGTTATTAGTGCCACATATCTACATACATATTTTCCTTTCGTACTAGAGTTTTCGAATAACTAAAAGGTTTTGTGGAAGTGGAAAGTTTTTGCCTTCATATTAGTCAAGACTTCTTCTTATATTTTATTTGAAGCTTTCATAGAATTACTATAAAAGGACACGGATCGTCTGTGTCACAAAACCTAGCTGGAGAATTCACGATGTCAGCTGAGCAAATTGAGGTTGATCTTCAACCTTTCGTTTTAGTTTGTGAAGCGTCAGTACGACGGGCATACAGAGCCGGTCAGAAGGGGCTTCTGAGCCAAATGCCAGGTCAAGTCTCAATGGGTTTAAGAAGCGGAGTGACCGTGTGGAATACGGGCAGGCTGTCCGTTCATCTCATAGTTTGAATAAGCAAGCAAGAAGTACCCGGATAAGTTATGCGATTGTTGTCGTTCAGAAACCCTATTTTAGCCCCAATATCTTATTTATCAGATATCCTGTTATATGCAGGGTGCGCCATAAATATGGTACCAGCTTTTCGAATCTCGAGTTTCCCCGTATCTGCTCCTTCCCTTATGTTTATGATATACCTTAGGACACATATCTACTTTGATGCTCTCAAGTCGTCAGATATCGAAAAACGGCATAGCCTCGCAGACATACACCAACCGTTCCGCCTTTGCGCGCATTTGGTGAGTTCTTTTCTGAGATCGCTTCCCTTTTCTATATTTTCCACATGGCAGTATTCAGAAACACGAGAAAAATGACCGCAGATTTGTTTGTATGTTCTACTCCGGTGAGAAGAGTCTACCCCAAGTAAACTCACTGTATCCCGATAGGATTCGGAAGCTTTATAGCTTCTTTACACGAAGTTGGAGAGAAAAAACAAATGCCGTGCTCTACTTGGCACGGCACGCGCCTAGCCAAACTTGTTCCTTACTAAAGGTTGTTCGGCGTGAAAGAAATGTTGAGATCCCAGGGTGCACGTGCAGGGTGACCCACATGAAGTGTGACGGGCAATAAAAAATCAACCTATGGACTTCTGGGCTGGAGGAGCGGTGATCGCTTGGGGGTAAAGGAACGCGATGACTGTCAGCTAAACCTTCCGCAGGATTGGGCACCAGCCCGTAGCGCAAAGAAGATGCTGCAATGTTGCGAAACCCCGCTTCCGAGTTTTGGGGCGAAGCAGTCTTGACCTTTGAATTCCCCGATCTCAATCCTTTGGATTTTGGGGTATGGTCGATTCTGGAGCAAAAAGCCTGCGCTTCCAAACAGAGGTCTTAGGAACCTCTGAAAGAAAGTTTTCTTGTAGAAGCGTGGGATGAAAGTGATTGCGCGCATTCTTGAAAACTTCCGAAAGAGGTTGGATGCTTGCATTAAAGCGAACTATGGTCATTCTGCATGCGAAATGTGATATGTTGTTTACAATTTTGTGATGATTATGTAGGAGTAATAATATCCTATTTGTTTTGATCTGTATAATTTTGATGCTAGTTTTCTGCGTCACACTTCATGTGGGTCACCCTGTATATTTCACACTACGAGTGCTGAAGCCGCTGAGACGAGTCGCCTCTCGTAGCCGTTTTCCCTCTTTCATGATGGTTTCAGCTAGAAACTCTACCATCAGAGCGATATCGTAAGTTTTAGACAAGAAAAGCACGAAATAGAATCCGAAATTCGTTACCAAGGGTTTTCTTAAAGGAGGCAGCGAAGTTTCAGAGGTTCTTCTAGGGATACGATTTGCAAACTACGGCGCACTCCCTCACCAAAAGGAAAAGATCAAGACTGGAGCTGAGGAAATGTTCGCAATTTTATCCCAGCTTCCGATCATCCTACAGATTTCCCGGACCGCAGTGTTATGGGTCGCTGGATGTAGTCTATACTGGAGAGGAAAGCCTGCGCTTCCAAAGCATCACTGTTGCTGCTCCTAAGGAATCATGGAAAAAAGCCCGGGCTGAAGTTTCTCTAGAAACTCTGCATGCCACCGTCGATGACCAATAAGAACAACAGTTTCTGTAGCCCAATTCTTTTGTTACCATATTTATGGCACACCCTGTATAATCCGCTATGTATGTCTGTTGGTTTGCCTTTGTGTATGGTAGTGTATGTGTGTATTTGACCGGAAATTCGTAACTCCTGTTCCGGTGGACCAGGAGAGTTCAAATTCGGTAGAAGTACAGGAGACAGGATGCGAACACTTCTGATGGGTGGCAAGGTGAGACTCTACTCACAGAGATGGGCTTGCGCGAAAATTGCAAATTTGAACTTACAGCTTTAAATTTCGTAGCGGTGCAGGAGGCAGGGCCAGAACACTTATGATGTGACAGGCCTACGCTCTGCCCAGAGTAGGCCAGAAAATGTCAATTTTGACCTACATCGTCAAAATTTTGTAGGAGGCACGGTGGGAACGCGGGTAATAGGTGATAGGAAGTGACATCAATTGAGTGGAGCTGATAGGAAGCCTTAGATGGCTGGAGCCACGAGATCCGTTACCTCTTTCATGCTACAAGGTGGAGCCCTGGCATTCAGTAGGAGATGTGAGTTAATAAGGTATAGTAAATGTTCGGTGATAGGAATTGATAACAGCTGCTGGGAACTGATGCTGTTATCAACTCCTATCACCGAACATTTACTATACCATAGAAGGCGCCTATTACGCTCTACTACGCCTTTCATATAAATAGTGGTGATCTGACACTTTAGTCATATTGATGTAATTAGTGTCAAGGACTGATGGCAAGCGAAAACGGCTGACAAAGGCCCATATTGTGGTGTCTTAGGCAGAAGGACGGCGCCTTTCTACGTTCAGAGAGATTGAAGGTTGGTCTCTCTGATAAACAAACGAATAACACGGGTCACTGGTAGGAGGTTCATTCGCGAAACACAAAACACTCTGATTGCAGCTGGTGCACAAGGGAGTCCCTTGTAGCGGGTATAACAGGGAAGAGAATGTGGTACTTAACCCTGCCCCGAAGGAGCGGTGGTGACCGCGGGTTCTGGCATATGCCAGAACACTCCCGCCGGCCACGATTATTTGAATTTTACATACAAAAGAAAGCAATAGAACTCTGTAGTGTCCGCCCGCTGCCCGTTATCGTCGTCGTAGTCGTTTGAAGTCCTATTCCTCGATTGGCGCACAGTAGCACGTTGTGTGGTCTCTCATACGCCGTACACTGTACGCCGCAGTCGTCATCCTCGGCATGAGTTGGCCTGAGGTAACGACCACAAAGGCCTAGCCGTGCCATCTACACGCTTTTCGCGAGCGCTGCTATCGCTCACGATTGCTAATGCTTTTATAGTTGTTACCCCATAAAATTGAACTTCTATGACGCAGAGCAATGAGTAGCTCTAAAAGCTAAAGTCTAAAAAGCTTGGAAATGGTTTTAGGCGCTTCCTTTGGTGACAGCTTAGTTTTTCCAGTTTTTTTTTT